TTTTCTCTATTACAGTAAAAGTTCATCAACTCAAGCTCAAATGTAAAGAGCTCTAAAGATGAGAGCTGGTGAGTGTGGCTTGTTTAATTGCTTTAAAACTGTCTTCTTGTCTGCTTATTAAAACATAAAAGTATTTTTTAAAAGCTCAAATGCAAGTACTGTCATAGAACAGTCAAACAATAAATTACAACTCAATAGGCCTTAACATATATGACACAATGCATGAAATCCAGTAAGATGGGCTTTGGGAGGGGGATCTGGATAAGGGAGGGGGTATAAAGATGATTAAGATATTTTGTATGAAATGCACACAATTCAGTGACAACATACATTAAAAATAAATAAATTACATACTTTTAAGTATTGTTTCATTGTTTAAAAAAAAGTCCAGTAATGAATTATAATAACTGATTTAGGTTCTGGGTTTTTTTTTTTTAATACAAGTGATTCAAGTAATTAAGCAATTCTTTTTAAATTTTTTACTGAGTTTTGTAGATTTCATATATCTTAACCAAATTGTGACCCTCCCTCCTTCATCCACACCCTCCCTACATTCCCTCCACTAGATAATTAGGCAATTCTAATCATTATACTAACTACTACTTTATGGAAAGTAGCTATGTGTCTGTATCCCCGACATCTCTGCCACAGTTAGGAAACTGCATGAAAGTTCTATGACATTAGGGATAGTGAGTCCAGTGCTTCCAGTACAGTCATTCCTGACCCAACCACATGTGGCAACTGACTTAAAATCAAGCCTGATTCAACCTAGGTTCAGAATATTTTTCTGCTGTGGTTATTTTCTAATGTTTATTAGTAACACGATTTTTTTAAGACACTCTTCCCACTTGGGGTTCGGTTCTATTGTCAGAAATAGGGGAAAAGTGGCCTTAAAAAATAAAAAAGCAAAACTGGCATTAAGCCTAGATTGAACCCCCATGTTACATGAAGCAGCTGCTTAACCTCTGGGGAATATTTTCCCCAGTCAGAAAAAGAATTGTGGGCTGGAGGGATGGCTAAGATGGTTAAGAGCAGTGACTGTTCTTGCAGAGGACCCAAGTTCAATTCCAGCACTCACATGGCAGCTAACAACTGTCTGCAACTCCAATTCCAGGGGAATCTGATGCCCTCTTCTGACCTCTACAGGCACTACATGACACAGATGCACTTAACAAACATACAGACAATACACTCATACACATAAGCTAAAAATAATAAAAAAAATTTAAGACCCTGCAACTCATATTCAAATAATTATTTCCTATGGGTTTATAAGGGAATTTTTAGAAGTGGCATTGCAGCATGAAATACTTCCATTCAAATTCAAAAGCATTCTCACTGCTTTGCCAAGTGGCAATAATTTTAAATGACTTAGCAGTAAAATTTTCATCTCTCCTCAGACAGAATTTCCTAAAACTATTTTTTTTCCTTTTCTTAAAATAAAAAATATAAGAATGGCACAAAAAAAAAAGAGAATGTTCCAGAAAACACCTCAAGAGGATTAGAATGGACATTTCTTCAGGGAGGGGCATGCACTAAGGTTACCATCCCAACCCATATAGACCCCAATAAAAAATCTGCAAAAAATATTTTTATTGAGTTTTTGTGCATTTCACATGATAGTTCTTAATTAAATTTAGATCCCCTACATCATCCATGGCCTCCACTAGATTTCATGCATTCTGTCATATATCTTAAGTCTTTTCCCTTTCTGGTCAAGCATTTGCCCCTCAGTGCAAGTTCATCCACTGGAGTCCAGTCAGCCTATCTAGAGTCTCTCCCTTAATGAAGATCTACTCTCCCTCACCCAGCAGTAATCAGTTGCCAATAGTTCCTTGGCTGGGGCTGGGGCCTGCTGCTCATTTACGTTGTTCTATGCTCAGTTTGTCTGATTGAGATGGCATGGGTCTTGTGCATGCTGTCACCATTGTTGCAAGGTCATATGAGCAAGGCCCAGTGGCCTGAAAGCCTAATGCATAATGAAACTCAGTTTTCAATTTAACAACATTATGCATAACAAAAATTTCTAAGATATGAAATCGTAAGAAAAAAAGAAACTCCACTTTAGAAATGTTAAACATTTATTCATTTTCTTATTGGTAGCTCTTTTCTTGGTTGTAGTAAGAATATGCACAGTAAACATACTTTTCATATTTAAATATTACCACCCCAAATTCTAAAATTTTTCTTCAACAAAGGCCAGGTGCCATTGTAAAATAAATTAATTTTAATTACAAATGACAAGTACCAATAGATATCTAAGAAATGTATTAACATTTACTTGCAATAACAAACATGTGCTTTGATATTTTTATTCATTAATATAAAAATTGAGTTTTCAATGAAGGCAGTTTATCAGGACTCTAGTTACAGAAAAAGTTTGAATCAGTAATTCCTCAGACTTAAAGTAAAAACCCTAACAATAAAATGGCAAGCATATGGAAATGTTTCTGTGATATGTACATATTATATTTTCATGTAAACAAAAGCAAATGTCAAAGAAATTAAATATCTTTTGTCAGCAACAAAAATACATAAATTCAAAAGTTATTTTATTTTACTTCATTTTCCAACAACTGGCGTACGCAGAGCACTGGGAATTAGACCAATCTTTACATTTCCTTCACATGCTTCAGAAAATTACATAAAGAGATAGCCTAGACATTCATCTCTAGGGAAGAAATATTATGCTAAATAATAGCCTTCTCAAAGCCATGACTTGCAATTATCAAATCATTCTTTGAGCCCTATTATGAAACTACATCGTTTTTCACAATTTTGCCAGTAAAAAGAAAGTAAAGCTAGCATTGGTAAAATCTACACCAGCACACATGGCAACCAGATAGGCACAAACCATGTAGATTTCCTCTCCAAATGGATCACCAATGGCTTGCAACACACAGCAATGTTGATATAAAGCACACAGTAGTTGAATGAATATACTTGTTTTCTACAGGAGTATTTCTTGGAACTGTGCCCCAGGGACCAAACGAACCAGAATCAAGCAAAAACACGTAATGAAACATAAATGAACATTCCTGTGCCCAACCACAGACCCTCTGTAGGCCCAGGAATTTGTATTCTTTACCTTCCCTGGGGATAGTCAAACATTTATTAAAGCTTAAGTATCACTACTGCTAATATTTTGGAATTTCTCTGTACTCTTTTTTTTAACCACAAATATTTCATTATCTCTTTCATGCCAGGAGGAAAAAGCAAATAATTTCTGAGTGTGCTGGTCAGCAGTGATAAGCAGAAGTGGTATTTTTCTTCCCCATCAAGAAAATAGGGGATAATAGGCAACATGCAATTTTGCACCTATGTCTCTTGAAGGTGCACCATAGTATTATTTCTAAAGCTTTCATAATGTATCTATAATAAAAATGTTCAGCATGATTTGTAAACTGTCATCTGATCAAGATTATCCAGTGTAAAGAGAACTGGGACTTGGTGTCTTCCCCAGAACTGCACATCTCGGCTCTCCAGAGCACTCACTAAATGAAACTGCCTACAGAGCTCTACACAGTACCTTCAGCTGCTCAGAAATCAAGAAGAGAGAACAACAAACTCAGTTTCCACCACAGTCACAGAAGGAATCTCAAGAACTACCAGTATACATCCATGTACATATGTCATGCTTTTTCCTGAAAGGTGGATTTTGAACATCAGTGTTAATATCTGCTTAAAATCCAGTTTATATTGTCAATGGAAGGTAAAATGCATTTCATTGTTACTAGATCTACTTCAGTACTTATGTCCTAGAAGATCTCAATGGACAAAAACAATTTTACCTGTGATAAATATAAATTTGAAATTAAAGAGGTAGGTGGCTATCATGTAAAATGATTCCAACATAATATAGTGAATAGTATACTCAGGTCTCAAAAGTTCTCTTACTAGACAAAGAGTTCCAATACCATTGGAACTGTCTTTAAGAGCCAGGTTTCCCAAGTCTTTGGTGATGTCAACAAGTTTCCAAGGTCCTAACTTCTGACAACCATGTCAGGAGCTCTTCAGATATTCCTTTTAAGAAACAGCTAATGAAAGGAGATGTAAGAAGTAATACTGGAGAGCAAGGAGTAGTGTGAAGTTGACTGGGCTCTTCAAATCACTATACTCTCATATGGGTGGACATGCATGGAGTTGGATAAATCTTAGCGATTTTTGTAATCCAACTAAGATTTCTACAACTGAAGAAAACAGAGGTTCATTTTTTCCAATGGTTTGAAAAGTACTAAATTCTGAAAAGCTGCTACATATCCATGTTAAATTACTGACTGAGCCCATACTATAGTCAAAAGTCCACGCTTCAGCCTTTTTAGCCCTAGTCTGCCATTCCATCACTGTTGGTTGTTATATAAAGTATGCCCATGGTGACAGAGAAGGTGACCAATGTTCTGAATGCACCAGGACAGGCAGATAACATAAGAAAAATAATTAGAGCTGCAGACTTGAACTATTAAAGTCGAGTCTAAGCCCAGTCCAGGGTCTTATCTTCCCTTTCTGTGGAAGAAAAGAAAAGAAGAAAATACTTTCTGAGTTCATTCAGAAACTCCAGCTCTGCTAAGGCAAACAAAAAGGCCATACTGTTGATAACATTTCAAACTATCATAGTTGGATGGCTGGAAAACCTGCAAAGGTATGATCCAAACATAGCTGTATCGGCCTATTTAATAGCTGTCAGTCGCTTGTTTTGCAGTTTTTAAAAATCACCTTATTTTCATATTTAGATGTTTAAGTTCCATTTTAAAAGGTGGCGCTAAATAATTTTGTTTCCTTTTCTGTTCTCAAGACATTTTTGGTACTGGATTCATATTGATTTTGGTAATACATGCTATTTTCAAACAAGATTTTAATTTAAAAACAAGGCTATGCAGGCATAGAGAAATAGCTCAGTTGGCAGAGTGCTTGTCTAGCACACATGTAGCCCTGGGTTCAATCTCCAGGACCACATAAACCGGGCATAGTGGCACATGCCTGTAATTCCAGCACTTGGGAGATGGAGGCAAGAGGATTAGAAGTTTAAGGTCATTCTCAGCTATATAGAAACTTCAAGGCCAGTTTGGGCTACATATGACCCTGTCTTAAAAAAAAAAAAAGAAAAAGATATGCAAAGTTCCCCTTGACTATTAAACATTCAAGATGAAAGTAGTGTCCATGTGGCACAGTGCAACAACAGTCTCAGCTTCTCAGACGTTGGGATCACGGCTCTACCAGAAGCCCTGGGCAAGACTGTAGATCCTCTGAGAGTTGGCTTTCTTCATTTGTTTAAAAAAAAAAAAAGTACCTCCCTCACAGGGCTACCATGAGGATAAATGTACACAGGGCCTGGTATACAGGTGGCAGCCCCTTCTCCCTAAGCCTGGGGAGAACCTTTGCCACACCTGTACCAGCTCCCCTCATTCTGCTCATTGCTCTGAAGACTCAGTATTGTGCTTAGAAAACTTCCTACAGGTTTATGCTCTCTTTTAAAATTGTACATGCAGTTAAAACAAATATGACTGAATTAATTTGTACATTCTTAAAGTGCACCAAAGTAAATAGTAATGACCTTTAAAATGTCACTAACCTCCTTGGATTTTTTAAATAAAACTGAGTATTTACCAACTGAGATGCATGGGGATTCTGACTCCAATGCGATGGCAAAGAGCAGCAATGTCTTGTAGGGGGGGAAAGGGATTGATAAACTCAACCAAGCATACCTTAGCAGCATAAAGACTACTTACAATTCAAGTTAACTGCAGGTTCGATAAAGTACAATCCTGATTCATGCTACAAAAATAAAATCAGCCAACTAAACAAAAAAGAATCCCACCTGCCCACTCTAAATCAGAGTTTTTTTGACATTGGAGGTAACATTTGTAACCACTTTCCTACAGGGTATCCCTGGTTACAGGACTCATTAAGTACTTACCACTCTTTCTTTACAATACTCATACATACACACGCCCCTATAAAAAACAATAAACTCTAAGCTTAGAAGCCATATGAAAAAAGTTTCAGTCACTAAAGAACCATCGACACCCAAAATATCAGTCAGGTCCAATATTCACACCACTGTCCGATGTTCCCCACACACATACACAGCACTGGGACGGATCCGACGCCTTGTATGACCAGGAAGCCGTGGCAAAAACTTGAAGGACTTGGGCATCATGTCCAGGCAGGCATCATGAAACTTCTTGATCCTCCAGTAGTAGATCAGTGGATTCAACGCAGACTTGAGGTAGCAGAGCCAAAGCAGCCAAGTGCTAATCTCAAAAAAGTTGTGCTTATAGTAAAAGTGCTTACTGAATGTTGCCACAAGGCTGTACGTGGTAAATGGTGCCCAGCAGACAATGAAAACAGCAAAGAGAATCAAAATGGTGGTAAAGGCACGTGTTTTAAAGCCCATGTCGATGCTCATCTGAAAGGGCCTCTGTAGACTCATGAGACCCAGTTTGCTGGCCTGGCTGAGGCATATTCCTTCCGGGTAGCTATGGATCCTCAAGGCATTGTGCCGAAGGGTGTTGAGGATGCCCATAAATGAATACAGTATCACCAGGAAAGGTATGAAGAAAGAAATGAGTGAAATCAAAATCACATAAGCCTGGTAACCTGGATTGGTTGTATACCCAAACACACACTGAGGTGCCCGGGAAGGGATCTGCAGATCAGGGTTTCCCACAGCCAAAGGAAAAGCTACACAAAAAGAAGTTGCCCAGGAAACTGCAATGAGAACCTTAGCCCTGTACGGATTTAGCTTATCTTGCCTCTGAACTATAATCAGGAACCTATCGATGCTAATGATGAGCAGGATGGCAACCCCCTCTATCACAAACAGCCAGAAGAACATAGCAGATAATCTGCAGAAGAATTTCCCAAATATCCATCTGGTAGTAAGAATAGATACCAGGGCAAATGGCATGTTCAGCACTGCAAGCAACATGTCTGCAAAAGCCAGACTGGCAAGAAGGATGTTAATCGCAGAGCGCATGGCAGCTTTTTGGTAAACCATGAGGCAAACAACCAAGTTCCCAAGAAAAGACACAAACAGAATAAATATCATTATAGCTGAAAGGATGATCTGGAGAGGTAAGTTTATGCTCTTAAAAACTGCTGGTGTTGGGGTGACAGCTGTGGTATTCACTGCCAAGGAACTCAAACCAGTGGTAGTCATGGTTTCAAAACCGTATCTAAGCAGTGGACCAGTGCTGGGATGCTGGGATGGTGGAGGGACCGTAATATTCATATGGGAATTTGAATAGACTACAAATGTCATGTTGGGCATCCCAGTATGGGGCACAGTCAAAACTGCTGAGACAACCATGGTTTCAGGAGGATGGAAGATACAGGCAGAGACGTGGGTCCTCTTCGAGCATCTCCACACAGAACAGCAGAATCAGGTTCCACTGATGGACTTGGACACACATTCTGGGAAATGGACAGAGTTCCATCTTCCACAGGAGACCTTTTGCCTAGAACAAGCCCAAAACACAGAAGTGAGAAGTCAGCTTAATAAATAACATTTGACTTTTGTGTCTCCCATTCAAGTACTAAGCAGGTCCAGCCCTGCTTAGCATAACAGAGCAGACAAGACTGGTCTTGTTCAGGGTGGTGTGGCTGCAGACATAACTGACTTATTTTCTTCCATTATGCAGGATTGGTTTTTCTCTTTCTAATTCTTTCAAAGTTGGATCTCTAACCTAGTCACTACTAAAATTGTCCTACTGTTTTAATCAGATATGATGGAATTTCATAACATTCATATAAAAAGCAAAAAAATCTCAGAATGAATTAATGTACCAAGGACAAAAGCTAAAACTTTGTTAGTTTTTTTTAATTGTAGCAACAGCATGGCTTTCCACAGGTACTATTAATGCACATTTTTCTAATTCTCCTAGGATTACAAACTTTATCAGTTCTTTCCTACAGGTTCTAGTCTGTTTTTACATTAGCATAAAGCCAGGTGGCAAAAATACCTAGCCTCAGTTTCCTATTTCACATATGGTAATGACACTCTGTAGGTCCGAGAACCCTTGCAAGTAAGAATAAGGTTATTTTCAACTAAGATCTGAAAATAGTTTCTTGGCTTGCTCTCCTTCCCTCCTTTAAGTCCTGTCTCTGTCCCTCCCTTCTTCCTACGAGTCAAACATCATATGGACTTAGAACGAGTCATTGATTTTTAGGATAATTGCCAAAATTTCATTATCCATTTAGTGGAGTACAAAGGGGGCAGAGATGGGATCTCATTATTCAACCAAGATTCAGTGGACAACTATAGTATGCCTCTTTACCAATGTGTGTCTGTACGATCCCCAGTCTTGTATAGGGTGGCCTTTATGAATAGATGAATACCAATGTTTATGCAAAATACTGATTTTTTTACTATTTCCTCTCATTTTATAGCTTAATTTCTTTGTCCTTACTAGATTTTATCCATTCTCAAATGTTCACTTTGAAGTATCAACAGACCTTGACAAGATGCCACATTAAGCCAGTGACTCTCAAGCTATAACCACAAAGGGGCAGTTGGAAGAGAACAGAGGTCATGGTTTTTTTTCATCATAATCACACCACTCTGTTGAGAGATACCCCAAATACACACAGTAATAAAACTGTGCTCAGTACATAAATGAGCCTACCTCCTCCAGAGAAAAATTGTAAGTAGACAAGTGTGTATTTTAACCCTAAATTAATAGCTAAAATCATGTTTGACCAATTATGTAGAACATCTAAAACTATACCTCAGGGCTGGTGAAGATGGTCCAGTGAGTAAAGGCACTGCTGCCACACCTGATAGCCTGGGAACCACACGATGGGAGGAAACAATCTACTCCTGCATGTTGTCACTGACCTCCACACATGTATCCTGACACATATGCTACACACACACAAATACACACAATAAATAATATAGTTGAAATTTTTAAATTGCATTTCAACAAACATTTATCCACCCTGCAGTCGTGAACTTGCAACATTTAATTTCCTCAGGGTGGGGAGCACAGTGGTTGAGTGCTTGCCTAGCATGCATGAGGCCCTGGCTTCAGCTCCCTGCAGCACAAACGTAATTAGTTAAGTAATTAAAATTAATTAAAAATAAGATTCCATTTCCTCAATCATGGCGAGGAGCAAAAGTTGTAAATGGAATGAAACCAAAGCAAAACCTCAACTTAGAATGTGCTTTTAAAGTTTTATAACTCCATATGCAATGAAAATGTCCTTCTTTGCCAACTCTACCATTACTGCCCAAACATTTAACTCAAGTCATTCAATTACTCAGTCATCAAGTATTTACTGACGGCCTGCTATATGCCAGGCACTGTGATGAAAATGGTTAACAAGTGGTGCTGGATTTCTGGTTTAAAATAACAGAATTACCAGAGATACCACGTCCCAAAATTGACTTTGAAAGGCCAGTAAAGGGATTTTTTTTCAACAAATCCATAAACTAAAAAGAATAATACAGCACCCATATGGCAGCTAACAACTGTCCATAACTCCAGTCCCAGGGGATCCGACAGCCTCTTCTGACCTCCGCAGGCATTGCACGACACAGGTGCACTTAGTTACATGCAGGCAATACATGCATACATATAAAATAAAAATAAATTTTTAAAAATTAAGAAAAGAATAAAACACATGAATTAAAGACACAGTAGGAAAGAATTTTTTAATGACTTCAGGAAAAAAGAAGATGGTGTTGTGGTAACTGGTTTAACAAAGCAGAACAGAGAACGATCATTTTCAGTACTTCAAAGAAATATGCTTTGAGGAAGTGGAAGCACCTGTAGAGCCAGAGAAGCTCCAGAGAGCAGTACCCACAGGGATGGCAGATGAGGATGAAAACAAGGGACTAAATTAGACCCCCGGAAGCCCACTCCAGGCCAACGTCTCCTCTTTCTAGGCAATCATAAGAAAACACATTCTCCACTCAAGTAGTTCAAGGCTGTAGCAGAACCAAACCAACAAGCACCAAAGGGGAAGATGTTAGGGAAGGACTGTCAACAGGACTGAACAAACCAATGTCAACACTCAACAGGAGACCCTAGCTCTTTCTCCACCTTCTTCCCAGACTCCAGGATCTGCAAGAAGTGCAGTCATACTTGGTCGCATCCTACTCTCAGAGCTACCAATCCAGTCCACAGAGTGTAAACTCACTTTCACAAGGCAGCACTGACCCCTTCCTATGGGCAGATGCTCTAAGTCCTTAAAGCCTCTTAAAAGCTCCACTACCTGTCAACAGTGCTAACACTTGGAACCAACCTTCAAAAGGAATTTTGGTGGGAACAAACTGTGCTGAGATCATGTCACTTATAAGCTATTTGTGAAGACTAAACGTAAAGTTTTGTTTTATTATACCCAAGGAAGCATGAACAATCATGAAATCTGTGTCATTTAAAACCAATTCAACTTAGTCTAATTTCGAGTACAATATGTAAGGAAAATGTTTAAATCTTGATCTTTGTCTTCTCACAGCACAGGCTATCACCTCCTTCTCAGCTTCCAGTTGCTAGCCAAATGCAGATACGAACCAAGCAGGTTTTGATGGCCTAAACCTTACTTCTCAGCTCCAGCCTTATGTTCCCAGCTTTTTTTTTTTTTTTTTTTCAATTCCAAAGAGAAGCAATTTTTAACACATTTTTCCAGAAATAGTTTGGAGCAGGTTTCATTAAAAAAGAGGGTAAAATAGGATTAAGAAATCAAAGACCAAAGGACTTGCCAACATGGGGTCAACTTTGGTGGAATAATGATGAAGGTTTCCATGTTCTATTTTTTTTTTCAATCCTAACGAGTTTATTGGGCTTGCTAACAGAGCATAGGGTGGGAAATTATTTACAGAAGAGTGGGCATCACCCCCACATTTGGCTGCACTGGAAAGTCCACACTCAAATATAGATCCTGTGACCTCCTCACAGCCACAAAAAATGGCAAGAGAGGTGCCTCATGGCATTCTTGGCTTATACATCCTTAGCCCCTCCCCACATGCAGCTAAAGTCAACTGATTGGGGGGGGACTGACCCCCCCATTCAACTCCCTAACAAGTGTGGGAAGGAAGGTTTGCTGGCATTGTGGTCAGAGGACACTTCCAGGTAACACTCCACCCTGTCTTCTAGCTCTTACATTCTTTCCACCAACCCCTTCTACAAAAGTCATTGCACCTTAGAGGGGGTGATGGGTGTGGGATGATCTTCCTCCCATAGTGGCAAGGCACTGAACTTTCAGGTTTCTGAATCATCTGTTTTCCATGGGCTGTTGGCCTATTTCAGTGGGATTCCATCTACTATAAAAATGCAAACAGCAAGAACAAGAACATCTAAACAGTGGCTGCTATAATAACTTAACCTATGGGGGTAAACACAAATGCTTGGACAGTACTTTAGCAGGTGCCTCACATCCATCTAACAAAACAATTGCAATGGCTTCCCCACTAGAGCCTATATTCTCCGCTGTCACAGGGGGGGTGGCCTGGACTACAGTACCAGATGTGTGTTCCACCTCTAGGAGTGGGCATTATGTGCAATCGAAATTTTTCTGGTTGTATATACACTAGACAAGCCACTATTGCACTAGCAGGAACATCTTCTTTGGCATGTTGACAGTGCAGCATGTGGGGTCAGTAGTTGAACAGAATTATGAGGGACAGTTCTCCCCCAGCCATCTGCATATCACCTTCTGGCACAATGAAAGCCACCCATTCAGTGGTAGGGAGTTTCCAGGTTAGTCCAAGCTTGATTTATCTGTCTCCCACTCTCACATCACATGGTGTCTTCAGCAACAAGGTTTTCCTGTCCACTTCTAGTGTACAACCAACATTACTGGCAATGACCTTTTTTGTTTGGGACCTCTAAGGCCCCTCTGGCCAACAGCTCATAGTGGAGCAACACACCTCTAGCACTGGGATTTTCATTTAGCAACCGTATGGCTTCAGGTAGGGCCTTCTTCCATCCCCATAGGGTTCCTTCTGTGCTTAAGGTTTTTTTTTTTTTTTATGTGTATCAGGAGAATTTTTTCCCTTTATTCCCATAGTTCTTTGTACAGCCCTCCTTCCCCCGTCCCCTTTACCCCCTTTTACATATTTCTCCCTTAGTAACACCTTTCTCCTACTATTCTTCCCTCCTGGGTTCCTTCTTTCCTTTTACCTCCCTGGTTCCCTTCCACGTTCCTGGTTCCTGCAGTTACATCAAGATATGCACTCTCTTAACCTAACCCTAACCCTAACCGTAACCCTAACCTAACTCTAACCCTAACCCTAACCCTAACCCTAACCCTAACCCTAACCCTAACCCTGTGGTGCTAGGATCCACAAATGAGAACATATGTCTTTTGTTTTTCTGAGTCTGTGTTACTTCACTTAGTATAACAGTTTCTAGATTCATCCATTTACCAGCAAATTTTATTATTTCATTTTTCTTTATTGCTGAGAACACCACTGCACAAATGTACCACATTTTCGTTAACTACTTGTCAGTTG